TAACCAACAATAAATATATACATAGCAAAATCCAATAAAACCCAAAAAAAAGAATAAAATCAAATAAATACAATGAAATCGATATCGGAGGAAAAACTCCGCAGTCGCCAATAGATGTCGCCGCACACCCACCTTGCTGCTGACGCGCTGGAACTTGCTGAGGTCCCATCGCGGCAGCTTCACGACGCAGTAGTCGAGGCTCGGCTCAAAGCAGGCTGTAGTCGAGCCGGTGATGGAGTTCTTGAGTGCGGGCAGCGGCGTGCCGAGGGCAAGCTTCGCCGCGATGTAGGCTAGCGGGTAGCCGGTAGCCTTGCTGGCCAGTGCAGAACTGCGCGACAGCCGCGCATTCACCTCAATGATGTAGTACTGCAACAGTAACACGCTCGCGTTCACAGCAATGTTACAGCAATGTCCCAGCGGTAAGTGAAACTGGGGCGAGCCACGTTGATAAAAGATCGTTAATTTTTTACAATTCGAAAGGATCGGCATGCTAGTGCAAAAAACGCAGTGCCTTAAATGTTAGTGAACACTCACTGCACTCGGTGTAAAGGAAGACTTTCAACTGTGTAGTTTCTACAACATATGTATCAGTATGTATATATATATATATACACATGCACACGTGTATGCACCCACACACGTGTATGCACCCACAAACATGTACTATAATAAATACAAAACATAGCTTATAAGTCTGCATTGATGTGCAATTTAAAATTGCAATACAGAGTTAATCACACATCTGTAATGTAGTCCGGCCACATTCCAGTTATGCTGTTGTCATGCAGTTACATAACAAATCCCTCAGAATCAGTTAGGGCAATACATTAGCCGAATACAATCTCTGTACCTCGTATTAGGCAATAAATTATTAGTGAACAAACTCTTTCATGAAGTCATTTTATTGCTTCACAGACAAAACAGACTTATGCTCAATTTTGAGGACTTTCTACTACCAAACACAATAATAGCCTTATTTTCCAGAATATACTAGGGCAGTAGCATACTTTCCCAACCCGGTAAATAGCTTTTTAAAACTCCAGAACTTTCCAAGTTTCCCAAGACCCATCGAACCCTGATATCACACCATGATATTGACCCTGCACCTCTGAGCCTACAGCTGTGGCACATAGCCAGCCAATCTTTAATAACCACCAAAAAACTGACAGCTAATAAAGCAATGCAACCCCTACATAAATAAATGCGCACTAGCTGCGCAAAGCACAGGTATATTGAGATGCTGATTAGTGGCGAATCTGTGAACTGGCTCATTTGGAATAGCCACGGAGACATATTAAACGTGATTTTAAAATAAGAAATTATTAAGTTATAGTTCAACGTGATTACACTATATATATGCTTTATGGTAAAAGCTAGATTCACTAGATGCAGGGAATGGACACATGAAAGGTATAGAGTAAGTAGGAAACCATGGAAAATATCGCATGCTCGTGAAAAATTCTCGCATCGGACAATACCTGCGTGTCATCCACAACAACGGCTGTGCCGCTGCTGTTACCATGACAACGATTCGCATCAGCAGCATTGGCAAAGTCCCCTGCTTGCATCTATAATTAGCACAGACTTTAAGGAATTTTTTAGTTAAAAGCCAGGAACCTAGCCCTAGAAACCAGGAATTGTAGAAAGGGGAGTAGAGGACATTTACAAGTTGTAATGTAGGGTAGGATGGACTGCCCAACTCTCTCATTACATATCAGCCAAATATTTCTCAATATAGCTCTTATTCACAAGAGGCTTTTCATATCTTACAACCCACACTACACTGCACATGTGTATATAAATTAGTCGTTCCCTAATCGTTCTCTCCGATGGTCAGCATCATGCACTAGATTAGATATCTCTATTTGACAGTATTAATTGCATGGGCATTGGGTGCGATTACTATTGACAGGAGAGGTGATATCACTTTCGCTTTCACGATGTTCTTCTAATTCCTCGCTTTGTTGCATGAAAGACTTTGATACGATGGCAGTGGCAGCTGCTACTGCTGCTGCTGCTGCAATTACTACTACCAATACAATCACTACTAATATTACCTCTACTATTGCTGCTGCTGCTGCAAAGGCTACTACTGCTTCGACTATTTAGCCTTGCATGAAAATATGTAACATTGTATCGTAACATTAAAAATTCAATAATATCCAAACGACAACTTACCTTATCGCTGACCTTGGCCTTGTAGGGGTCAAAGCCAAATGTACCCTCATCGACCATGCGCAGTGCCTTTTGCATCGCCTCCTCAAATTTGCGGCCAATGGCCATGACCTCACCAACACTCTTCATGCTGCTACCAATCTAAGATGCAAATTGAGTAATCAGCTAACCGACATGACACAGTCAGGAGAAAGCATGCAGTTGGCAGCAGCATCGTTACAGGGAACTAAAACGGTAAACCCTGATGTGCCTGCATAAAACATGAAAACACTTACATTCATTAGCCAGTGAAAAAGCAATCAACAATTTTCAATAATAAATAATAATAATAAATAATAACTAGAAAGGGCAGCTAGTTGTCGCCAAATACATGTATCCCCCGTGTTCTCCCCAAGACATGTAAGTATACGAAGTTTGGTCGGGCTAGGTCAATTAGCGGCCGAGTTATAGAGCGGAAGATAAATATGATAAAGATCACAAGGTTAAATAAAAGCTGCAGTGACCTGGTTTTGGTACGCGACACACATTCTCCCCAATAAGACAGCGGTGCGTGATGTATTATTCCTTACAAAGCTATTTTGTATGTACTGGTGGGTAGACATTATATAACCCTCTCCCACCTACTACGTACAAAAATAGTGTAAATTACGATACCCTTGATTTATTTTAGACAAGTTTTATTCTTGGAAATATGCGTTAAACAAGGCGAAAGGCAACAGGATAGCATTCAAGTAAAAGATAACAACAATTTCTCTAGGTCCCGGTTGGCTTGACCCACTAAGTCCATGCACCGCATGCACTCCTTTCAAAAAGCCGGAAAACTCTTTAATCAATAGTCACGTTACCTGGCTGCCGGTAGTAGTCAAACTCTCCGCGCTGCGCGATGAAGGCCTCCCGAACTAGGTCAACACTTGCGTAGCTTCTGCTTGTTTCAGACGCGCCCGTGGGGCAGCGTGGCTGATTGAGTGCCGGCGAGTCGTGCGTGGCTATCGCTCTTCGCCGCCTTCAATCGCGCACGCGTCCAGGGAAGACAGTTGAAGAGGTCTTCGAGGTCCCTCGGTCGGCCATGTTCCGGTGTGAAATTGCACGCTGAAAGACACGTACGCGTTAGTGACATCATTTTCGGATTCCGGGACCTCGTCAGGATTTCAAAGGCCCATTTTCCGTCGCAAGTGTATAGCCAACTAATATTGCACTCTGATCCTCCATGAATAATCTTGAATTGCACATGAAGTATGCAGCTCGATATAAAAAAATTCGTTCGGGCGAGTCGAGTGCAATTCAGGGTTGATGTACAATATTGGTACATGATATATATAGCATAATTTGATCCATAATAATAGCTATGTCGAATGACTGCTTATTCTACGGCATCCTCCCCTCACGCGATGTGAATTTTTATACAATGCACACATCTTTCCTGAGACGGTTTCTTCTGTGGCTATGCCCTATTGTTGGTCGGTTAGCAGTAGTGAAGAGAGGCTCCAGTCCGCGGGCAGGGTTTCGGCATTAACAGCAAAGCCTGGTTCTGGTGGTGATGAAAGCACGTCGTGCCTGGTGCGTGCACGGTGGTTGTGGCTGCGATTGCGTAGCTAACAGGACAAACACACCTCATGTACGACAGTTAAAATGTGTTAATTATGAGCTCACTAATATATGTAATATATCATTTCATTTATTTTGATTTTATATTAATTTCAAAATATTAAATTATTGCAGAATATATTAAACAAATATAATCTTTTACATTAAATATCATTAAAGTGACAAAAATGGAAAAAGACTCGGCCATGTAGGCTCAACAGCGCCTTCCGCCATGACCGTGCACCACTGTGCAGGTGGCGGCTGACCGTGGGCCTTATAGTGACCGGCTACCCTGCGGAATCATCACTGGATCACACTTGCTTTCTGCCATTTATAAGATTCCTTTGCTTATAACACGTAGTACATGGGGACACTGACCTCTTTGTCTTACCCTTCTTAACGATGCCCAGCTGCTAATGAAAGCACTGGGACCGAGTCAGATACGATGCTGGCGTTTGCCATTCTCTTTTCTATAATCCGTGATTGTAATGGTGACAACATGAGTCGGATCTCAGCTGTCCATGCTTATAATAAGCCATCTATTCGAAAATAAATGATTGTGTTGAAATGAGCCTGGGTGTTGACTAAGCGTTAGACAATCCCATGTCTTCACACAACATGTATGAAAACCAGTACTGACAACTTACGGTAGGCACAGACATACCACGACACACAGGACATGCACCGACGTAATAAGTGTGTTTCCCTGGCCAAAGGTCGTTGAAGTGGTACTTTTTTTGCGTGTGTTTGCGATTGCGAGGACTAGCAACAGCGAGGGGCCAGTAGGGTCCGAGGGCGTCCCGTCTGTTAATTTGAAAAATCGTGCATTTGATGATTCTAAGAACTGTTCTATGGAAGACAGTGATTTCGTCAGCGAGCAGGTAAGGACACAATTTCTGTGTGCGGGCTGAAGATTTGAGTGAGGCGGCCCGCCTCGCTGTGTCAATGCAGGGACCTGCGTGAATTTTTAAACACAAAACTGACGTGTTCTGCAACCACAAACTCACACAAAATCTGTGCACATATGCAGCCCTACTAACGCAAAACAAGCACGTATGACACACCGTACACAACTAGTGACGCTGACACGCGCAGGGACCAGTCTCCCGTTGCTTCGCAGTGGATTCCAAGCACCCTGTCACCTTCGCCCGTGGTGACAGGCGCGTATCTGATTAAACTTGAGTCCGCAGTCAAGGCGACAATTCTGCGAGTTCCTGGTTGGTTGTAGCACTGCTTCCTAGATATGGTGGCATTGCAAATACATTATAAATTAATATAAATAGCCATAATATAATATGAAATTATATATACTCTTTGATGTCATGAATTGATGTTGACTATACGTGGATCGGACTCCTTGACTAGATTTATAACGTTAGGTCGTGAACTGGAAAGATTCAGCATGTGGCCTTCCCCACATCTTTCCAGATGGTTACCTGTGTTCTTCTTAGTTGAGAGCCTCGTGTCGATTCCTGAGTTGACGTGCTGTTATACAGATGTCCAGTTCGTTTAGATCAGTTGGAAAAGAACCGGCATGTAGAGTCTCGAGCGCGTTTCCGCACTGACCAATGGCACCACTTGGCAGGTGGCGTGGCCGTGGGGCTATAGTGACCGTCATTACCCTGCGATATCTCATTGTTATTTGATGCATGCACCATGTAATGTAGAGGATAATGTAATATGACGGTGCCTCAATCTGAATCTGTATTTTGTGGTCGAAATCATTTACTCCTAATTAAAGCACGGATAGCTTAATTGACAGTTCAACTAACTGCATTTACGAGGCATAGTTTCCCAGCACCCTCGATAGGCATTCATCGTAAATATTTGCTCAAATCTTCCAAACATTGAGGACCCAAGCTGGCGAATAGGCACAGCTCTTTGTTGGCTATGCCATTGCTCCAAGATATTAAAAAAAGAAAAAAGCATTCTCAGTTGGCGTGAAGGACACTTTACACGAAAAAACGAATTGGAAACGAATTTGCTGGAAAGGCGTCCCAATGGCAATATCGAGCGCCTGCACCATAAGAATCTCCACGTTTAGTTCTCGAAACTCACCGTAGATGGCGGGCACGCCCTCGCCGCTCAGCCACTCGTGCAGCGAGCGCGTCGCCGACCGTGGACAGTATTGCGCCGACAAGTCGCCGCAACGAGTCGGCACGCCCAGATGCGCGCGACTCGACAGAGGTCCATCGGTGGCTGTCGGTGCTCGTGCGGCGGACGCCGTAGTTGCGATCAGAGGGTAGTGGAATGGTATTGGGAGCAGCAGTAGGATGGGTCTGTGAGGACTCGCTGGTAGCCACTCGGCTGGAGACTGCGCGCACTGGCCGTTAGGTGGACTGGCGTGCGTGTTGGGAAAACTGCAGATGTTATATAGTACGGGCAACGTTGCATTAGTGTAGGAACTTAAATGAGAACAGCGTATGAATAACAGGATAAATGTTTGAAAACAGGACCGAGACGCATCAAGTGTATCTATGTAGACTTGGTTGTCTGAGAATGGATGGTATTGCATCCATGCTGTAGTTCAGAGTTTGATTATGAAACTTCATCACAGGAACTGACACGTGAAAGCTTGCTGCAGTGGAGACATTTTAATTGTTAGTTAGTTCTAGCACTTATAATTAGAAAAGGGCAGTTGTCGCAATACATGTATCTCCGTGTCTGGATGATTGAATAGCTCTGTAAGAGTAGAAGTTGCATATGGCACAAAGACAAAGGTTTGTGTTTTTGTTTTTACCACACTCATCTGCTGAGAGGTGCAAGTATGTTAAAATTGTGGCCTTAGAGGTTTTGGTACATGACAACTTCTCCAAGATGTGTAGCTGTTGACCGCACTTCCGCACACACGCCTCGAGCGACCACAACATACGGGTTTGACCGCACTTCCGCACACACGCCTCGAGCCACGACCACACCATACGAGTTTGACCGCACTTCCGCACACACGCCTCGAGCGACCACAATATACGAGTTTGACCGCACTTCCACACACACGCCTCGAGCGACCACAACATACGAGTTTGACCGCACTTCCACACACACGCCTCGAGCCACGACCACACCATACGGCTTCGACCACACTTCCGCACACATGCCTCGCGCGACCACACTTTGCACAAGCCTCGAGCCACGCCCCCAACATACGGGTGCATCCGCACGCACGCGGAAGAGCGTGGACGCACGTACCTCGCCGATGGAGTGTGCCGCCTCGCTCGGCGCGACGTGCTCTCCTATCTCCTCCATGCGCGTCGCGAACACCTTCCTGTCCTCGGTGTCGACGACGGACGAGATGGGCGTGCCGAGCACGCGCACGTTGTACTTGTCGAAGACGCCGCTGCGCCACAGACTCACGCCACAGTTGAGCGCCGTCTGGCCGCCAAACGACAGCAGCACGCCGTCCGGCCGCTCCGTGCGGATCACCTGCAGGGATGCAGCGCGATTAGGGGGGAGGGGGCGTTGTCGTCATTCCTGTTTATTACTTACTGCTGTCGTGCATACTATCATTCCTTGCACTGTAAGTGGCTGCACAGAAAGGACCCAATATGCAGTAGAAACAAGATACAAATCAATAGTTGTTTGCTAGCCTACTAGAGATTCTTTTCGGCCACGATATGTGTCTATAATGAAAACAAGTTGGGCAGACAGAACAGATTTGTGACAAAGCAAATGGCAGGACTAGCTAATTTACGCGTAAAAATCGGCGGTGACATTTCAGCATAACATGTAGCATATGTGGAAAAGCAAATATAACTACTCTACTGAGCAAATCAAAACTTAGCAGACAATGTGACGAATGATACCTCTGTAACATAGTCTGGAATAATTGGCAGGAAGTAGACACGGTCCGCGAGTCCCTTTGACGTCTGTACCGTGGCGATATTGGGATTGATGAGTACAGTCTCTATGTTCTCCTCCTTCAAGGCTTTGATAGCCTGAAACCAATACAATCAATTAGTGTTAATCAACATTAAAATTAAATGTCATTAAACATCAATCAACATTAACACGTTGCACACCTAACAAAAAATTCACTGTCAACAAACAACTGAGGAAATTGGCAAGTTGTCTGGTTCAGTTACCTAATCGACTTGCAAGACAGATAATCAAAGTTTTAATATTCCAAACATTCCGATTTCTACAATTTTCTTATTTCCTAACTAGCCAAGTAAACCAAAAATTCTCAGTCAAAAAATTGTTACTGAAACTTGAATCACTGTTTCAAGTTGTCAAAAGGAACAAACAAGCTTCTGGGAAAGGTTTTACTTTCGTTTTTCTCCTCCCCAGTCGTCGGTACCCCTATGCATAGATCAATACTGCCACATATCAGTAAAGTTACAAGTGCCTCTTGAATACACTGCTATCTTGAAGTATATATACAGTTTAAGATTTCTAGATGTCTAACTGAATAAAAATAGTCGACCATCTACGTAAAGAAAAGTGCCGGATTCAGTTAACAGCTTTGATTACGTGCGTGTCAGGTCTCACTGGTCGTGCCCTCACTCCCCACAATAACCCCTGCGACATATGAACTTATTGTTATGCGGTCATAAAAACACTGGGCTACGCTACAGGCCGCAATCGATTTCTTAGACTGTCACGAGGTTTTGTGTGGCAAATCATGCGTTGAGGGAGTTCATGCCCTCGGCTCTAGATGTTTTGAATATCCCGCCTACGTTCAGGAACGGAGCGTATTAGAATGCGCTCCCGTTTACAAGTTCCCGTTTGAACTGCCGTTGCGATAACCTTAGTATTTCAGCGTAATATGAGGGGAAAAAGTGCCGCGGTCAGGAGGATCGGCAGTTTCGTAGAGATATTGTGGGCGAAGCAAAAACTTGGTGGCCTCCGGCCTCCGGGTCAGCACTAATTTCGAACGCTGTCAATAAAGTGTAGTTTATTGATGGAAGAACAGTGATTTTCGTCAGCGAGGTGGTGTTTTTGGATAAATTTCTGCGTGGTGGGTGAAATTTGAGCGAGACGGCCGCCTCGGTCGTGTCAATACAGGGGAAACACTGCATGTAATACATTTTTTTTAAATAATACATTATTCTAAAAGCTATGTAACAGTATTATATATCCTTATGTTTGGTCTAGGTTAGATTTACTGTTTCCAAGCTGTAAAGTAACCAAAATGTCAGCAAAAAGTAACCAGTCATTTCATCAATGTTTGCAAATTAAAATTTATTTATATTTTTTTATAATCGATTATTTATTTTTATAATCGAGCGCTTAGTCGGTTGCTGCAAACGACTGACTTTCGATTATAATCGATCACCGGGACATCACTACGGAATATACAATTACAATCTGGTTCCAAACAGTCGCCTCTAATAGTATCACGATTGCCCCGTGTACAGAATCTTTTCAGGTGATCTATAATCAGCTTGATACAACTTGTGGCAAAGTGACACAATTTTAGAAACAAGTTGAACATAGAGTGCACTGCAACAACGGCAAATAAAGTAACAAAGACACATGTACACGCACGCACGCATCCACACGCACGCACGCACGCACACACGCACACCCACACACACACACACATACACACGCACGCACGCACACCTACACCCACCCACCACACACACACACACACACACACACACACACACACGCACACACGCACGCAACACACCCACAAGCACGCACGCACGCACGCACGCACGCACGCACGCACGCACGCACACCCCCCCCCCACACACACACACTGTCACACACACACACACAAACGGCATGCACGCACGCACGCACGCACACACTCCCACACGAACCCCACTGCTACTCACCGGACCCCTCATCGCTGCTCACCTCTGCACGCAGTAAGCGATCTGTCGATCGGAGAAGCCGAGCCTCTTCGCGTCGAGCAGCACGTCTCGCGGCAGCTCGGTGCCGCGGTAGTACTCCAGCCGCTCGTAGTAGTCGACGATGTTGCGGAACTTGTGCAGGAACCAGCGGTCGATCTTCGTCAGCTCGTAGAGCCGATCGATCGTGTAGCCGGCCTTCAGCGCCGCCGCCAGAACGAAGATGCGCTGGTCTGTCGGCTCGCTCAGGTCCTGAGACACGGGTGTTAACAAAATTAAGTGGGGACTGAAAACAAATTAGGTTAGGTGGGGGTCTGGGGGGGGGCAAAGCGCCCTCGAAGCTATGAATTCTGTGCGATATAAAATACATTTGCTGACATTTCCTAATAAGCTCGAAATTTTTGAAGATATTGCAATTTATTTAAGTAACAAGTGCCGCAGAGCGACAGCGCTCATCTAACGTCTACTGCGGTGACTCTGTGGTGGAGTGGTGGGATTCTAGTAAACCCTGTTAGTCCCAAATGTGTTCACATACACGCCGAAACAGTGGAATGCACAGGGATGGTATCAGGAACCTTCTCAAAGGAATGTTCGTTGGGATCGTTATGAAAGTTGCCACGAGATCAGGGTTCGAAATTTAACACTCGCATACTCGCAAAATGCGAGTTGATTTTAGAAAATGCACAGTTGAAATTCAAAGCACTCGAATAAAAATGCAGAGCTTCGGCGATAGCAGCAGGGATGGAGATGTAAGTCCTCTAGTCTCTACAAACTCATAAGTTTATGTACAACGCAATCTCATTGCACGCACGACGCTGCATAAACAGCGCATATGCCACTAGTGCGACATGATTACGCAATAGCCAGGCAGCGGGAATTACTGGAATTACTAGCAGCAATGATCTTATATGCGATCTTTGCTAGCAGCTAGAGAATCACGTGGGTGAAAAGATGGGCGGCGCAGCGACTAACACGGTGAAACAGAGGCGTGGCAGCTTGCAGCCGAGGAGCAGGAACCAGTCTATGAGCAGGCAGAGTAGAAATTGGCGCTCTGCTTATTCTTTTGGCCTGCTTGTTTGTCCTTGAACTTTTCGTGACAGGCAGCTTTGAACTACCGACGGAACAGCAGACGATAACGGGAAGAGAAGAGAAAAACACAACAATATAATAATAATATGCAAAAGACTTAAAAGAAACGATGTGGATAATTTTATTTTATTTGCATCGCCGAGATAATAAAAAGCATATCATTTTTAAATGTATCCCTTTTGTTATCAAAATCCGCCTGTGCATAATTCGCACTGTTGATTTAATCATAGTTATAAGAATAATGTTTCTTTATTCTATTATATTCTTTTGTATATATGTATATAAAATATGAGTAAATAAAAAACATTCGTTCATAATGTCTTATAATGTCGTTT